GGAAAAAAATAAGAATTTGTTAACACGTTAAAAAATAATATTTCATTTTCGTAATTATCAATTTAAAATTATTTATTTCATTTTTTATATCAAAATTGAAACAAAAGGATTTTTTTTTTTAAAATTACGTAAACAATCTATATTTATTTAATTACGTTTGAAAAATAAAAGATTAGTTTACAAATTATATTTAATTAAAGAATTTTAAATTAATTAAAATATTGAAAGGAAAAAAAAAAGGAATTTGCTAACACGTTAAAAAAATAATATTTCATTTTCGTAATTATCAATTTAAAATTATTTAGTTCATTTTTTATACAAAAATTAAAACAAAAGGAAAATTTTAAATTAGGTAAACAATATATATTTATTTAATTATATTTGAAAAATGAAAGATTAGTTTACAAATTATATTTAATTAAAGAATATTACATTAATGAAAATATTAAAAGGAAAAAAAAATGAGAGTCTGTTAACACGTTAAAAAATAATATTTCATTTTCATAATTATCAATTTAAAATTATTTATTTCATTTTTTATACAAAAATAAAAACGAAAGGAAAATTTTGAATTAAGAGTGTGTTTGGGACACATTCTTTTGAAAGAATGTATTATCGAATAGTAGATTGATGGAAAATGTGTGGTTAAAAATGAAGGAAAAGTTATTGATGTGATGGAAAATATTATTTTATTGAAGAATGTGTGGTTGAAAATGAGTAAAAGAATGAGAATGAAAAAAATAATGTGTATCAAACAGGGCCTAAGTAAACAATATATATTATTTTTTAACGTGTTAGCAAATTCTTATCATTTTTTAAAATATTTTTATTAGCAAATTTCTACCTTACGCGTTGTCCTTCCTCACTAAAGTGACGCAAACTAAAGTGACGCAAATCATTGTCATTTGCGTTTTGTTCAACTTAAACAAATAATTCTCTTTAATATGAGACGTAGCCTTCATATGTTGAATTGAAAATGGCAAATGCTCTTTGAATTGAATTCTCAGTACCATATCTTATCGAGATGAATCAACGTTTAACTTGTTCTATATATCAAGGTATTCAAAAGTTGTGTCGAAACTCACAATGAAGATTCGAGAATGTTAAGGGTCAGATGGATATAACTAAAGATCAAAAGGAGTGAAACACAAATCAATTTTCCACCGCACAAGGATGTTCAAATTTTTAGTTGGAGATTGAAATTCATTTTTGGCCTAGTAAACATTCGAATTGAAAAAGAGCTATTTCTAGTAAAATTGTAACCCTTTGAGTTATCTTTTCAACGCATTTTAAATCGACTTAATCGGATATCGGAAACAAAAGTTATGATAAAAATACTCAAGTAGCCTCAGCTTAACAGCCGACTTTTTCGGCTGTTAACAACTGATTTTTTGGGCCGTTAACAGCCGAATTTTCAGCTGTTTCTATTGATTATTTTTTCGTAACAGTCGTTTTATTTGTTAACTAAAAGGGTAGTATTGTCTTTTTAACACAAATATGTTTTGTAATTGTTTTAGTCACTTAAGGGCGTTTTTGTCTTTTTACAGCAAATGGGTCATTTTGGAAATATTGTTAAGTAAAAAAGTCAAAATGAAATTATGGGGTTTTGACTAGATTATTTTTAAAAGAACCCCCTTTTATTAGTGGGCATTTATAAATCCACATCCGTTCTTGAATATTTACACGTGAATATTTGGAGACCAACTACGGTAAATATTCTTAGTGGGTTCATATTTTATCTACTAATTGTAGATGATTTTTCAAAGAAGACTTGGACTCGTTTTGCTAAAAACTAAATTTGATACTTTTCAAAACTTTAAGTAATAGCAAATGTTGATTGGAAATCAAATCAATAGAAAAATTAAAGTACTTAGAACCGACAATGATCCAGAATCTCGTAATCTGGAGTTTGATCATTTTTGTAAAGAAAGTGATATTTTAAGATATAGAATTGTCACATACACACCTTAATAGAAAGAATGAACAAAATTTCACTAGAAAAAGTAAGATGCAAGATTTTAAGTAAATTGTTTATGGGCGAGGTTTAAAAAATTGAAACTTACTTGATTAACACAATTCTATTCAGTGACGTTAATAAATAAATTTCAAAAGATTAGATAGATTTCCAACTTAAAAATGCACACTACAAATTCTCTTGAAATTTCACTATTTCTAATGAGATTCTTATGGATTTTATAGAAATCTATTCAAATACAAGAAATTTCTTAGAATTTTTATAATCTTTCTTTGGGATTCTTATGGATTATGTGAATATCTATTCAAATTCACAAAATTCAATTGAATTTTTATAATATTTTAAAATTCATTAAAATTTCAGTTGAAATACCATCTAGAGTAGTGAAAAAAGCGTGTTTTCGAAAATGGCGATTTTGACTTTGTTAAATGATTTAATGTTGGCCTTACGCGTGGTTTAATCGTGGCTGTTGCATGGAGAGCTGTCTCTTTTATAACCCTATTCTACACACACGTGTGTGAGCAACTTTAGCATTCTCTTCTATTTCTCTCTCAAAATTTCTTGATTCCAATTTTGTGTAAATTTTGGCCATTGAAGAAATTTTGGTGAACATCCAAACCCGTGGATGAAAATTTCTATCTTTGATTTTCTGCAAGTTTACATTATCATTTTGGTTCAAACAACAATTTGGGACTAACAGATAGCATCTGCATGTCGAGTTTCAAACAACAAATGGCTGAATTCCTACTACCAATTATAATCACTCTCATCACTACAGTTCTCATATGGTTCCTCATCAAACGAAGGCTACCACCGCCTACGGCAAACAAAACCCTCCTGCCATCGCCGACGAAGATTCCAATCCTTGGAAACCTCCACCAAATCGGCACACTCCCCCACCATTCCCTTCAATCTCTGGCCAAAAAACACGGCCCCCTAATGCTTCTCCACTTCGGAAAAGTTCCAACACTCGTCGTTTCATCTGCGGATGCCGCACGGGAAATTATGAAAACCCATGATGTAATCTTCGCAAATAGGCCCGAATCCAGCATTATGAAGCGGCTTCTCTACGACATGAAGGATATATCAGTCGCACCGTATGGAGAATACTGGAGGCAATTGAAAAGCATTTTTGTTCTCCATCTCTTGAGCAACAAAAGGGTACTATTAGTAATTTCATAAACAGCTAAAATAAGTTAATTACCGTGTATTAAGAGCATGTTTGGCCAAGCTTCTTTTGTCGAGGAAGCTGATTTATTTCAAGCCAATTAAAAGCCATTTTTTTGGCTTCTTTTTTAGTTTTAAGGCAAGCGCTCTTGGTACATAAGTTGAGCTAACTTGTAGGATACTTTTTATGGTATTACTGTTTTAAGATTTTTTAATGATGTAGTTAAATCCAGGTACAATCATTTCATGTCATAAGGGAAGAAGAGACAGCATTGCTGATGGAAAAGATTAAGGAATCATGTCATTCTTCATTGCCATTAAATCTGAGTGACTTGTTTATGGCGATTACGAATGACATTGTTTGTAGATCAGCTTTCGGGAGGAAGTACAGGGATGGGGCGAATGGGGAGAAATTTCTGAAGCTGATTACCGAATTTTTGGAGCTTTTAGGGAGTATTAATGTTGGAGAATTTATTCCATGGCTGGCGTGGATTAGTCGTGTTAATGGATTTGATGCTAGAGTGGCTTATGTTGCTAAACAGCTTGACGAATTTCTTGAAGGAGTGATTGAAGTACACTTGGAAAACGGTGTTGAAAATCATAGTGGAAAGGATGAAAGTAACGAGAATTTTGTTGATATTCTGCTTGGGATTTACAAGGACAATAAGACTGGTGTTTCCATTGATAGAGATACTATCAAATCAATAATTTTGGTGAGTGACACATTTATTTATTTAAGTTTTGTCCTTAGACACATTCTTTACATTCTAACCATATACATTTTATCAAAACAACTGCATAATAACTAGTGTCGACGAGACTTGAACTCAGGTTTTCTTTTGGCTCGGATTCTATTATCATATTGAACCAGTCGTCTAAAGTTGAAGCTAATAGAGATGGACACATATATCACTTAAACATTATCGTCAACATTCCCTCGCACCCTGGCCAAACTAGTTTGTTTTTATTAAAATGCTATATTTCCAAGAATAAATAGATGTTATATATTAATCCATGAAGTCAAGATTTTTGTCTACTTTGATTTGAAACTTCATCTAAAAGCTTATACCACTGTAAATTCCCTCGACCTTACATTTTTCAGCTTTATTGATTATTTCAGGATGTCTTTGCTGCTGGAACAGATACCTTATCCGTAGTTCTAGAATGGGGAATGACGGAGCTATTTAGGCACCCGAGAATCATGAAAAAGTTGCAAAATGAGGTGAGGGGAATTCTCAATGGAAAACAGGACATAATAGATGCTGACTTAGAAAAAATGCATTATTTGAAAGCTGTAGTGAAGGAAACTTTACGATTCCACACCCCAATCCCATTACTGATTGCTCGGGAAGCAAGGAAAGATGTCAATGTAATGGGCTATGACATTGCAGCAGGGACAAGGGTCATGACCAATGCATGGGCCATTGGTCGAGACCCTCTTTACTGGGATGAACCAGAAAAGTTTTGGCCGGAGAGATTCTTGAATTCGCCGATAGATATCAAAGGACTCGATTTCCAGTTGATCCCTTTTGGGGCCGGTCGGAGAGGTTGTCCAGGGATCTCTTACACAATGGCAACTAACGAACTTGTGTTGGCAAATATTATTCTGAATTTTGATTGGGAATTGCCTAATGGAGCAAAGGGAGAGGATTTGGACGTGAGCGAAAGCCCAGGTGTTTCAATCCATAGAAAAGTTCCTCTTATGGCTGTTGCAACTAAATGCTACTTCTAACCATTGTTGGTTTTAGGCTTTGTTGGATTGCAGTGTAATGTATTCTAACATACATTACAAAATAATATGGTGTTTGGTTTTGTAATAAGAAAAGTGTGCTTTATTCAGTTACCGCTTAATGTCTAATTGTGAAGATTTATGAAATAAATAGTGATCGTTAATAGTGTGAAACTCTTGCATATTTGTACATATTGTTAGGTGTATGTGGCATTCTCTAGCGGTGGGGATGTGGTCACTACACTCTGATGATAAAGCATGTCAACTATATTGATATATTTGTATGTGAGATGGACAATGAACATAAGTCACAAGTATGTGCGCGATAATCGAATTTTAAGATAAAAAATATTACCAAGCTAAGTAACTGTTGATGATATAAATTAGCATTACCAGTGAATGACATCAATCATTGAGCTTTTATAGTAGAAAAAGAGAGATGATTATCTTTGGATGAATGACGTGTCCTAATCTTAATGATCAATGTGTCAACTTCACAATCGTGACCTCTAATGTCCTATGGTTGACGTGGCATTAGATGATCTTAAAAATTGGTCACCCTCTATAATCTAGCTATGTCATCTGAAAAGTAGACTGAAAAGTTAATTGAGAGGCGTCTACTGCAGAGATGTCAAATCAATTGGTTGTACGAAAGTTTTTATATGAAAGATCTTTTGGGCGAAGCAATGGAAGGTGCCTTGTGGAACAAAAGGCACTTTGCTTTAAAAATGTGCGACAATAGTGCGTGGCACCTCGCTTCAAGCACAGGGGTTCGATAGCTGAGGTTCATATGACTTCCTTTCTTGATATTCTCGATTAATTAGGCCATTTAAGCAAAGTGATGGGGAGTGTGAACCTTAAGTTACTTTTTGTTATTTCCTAACTAGCTTCCACGTGGTCAATAATAAGAGTTTCGTAGGATGAGGCATAACATATTTACTTTCTCTTCCCTCTTGATTTGGATAATATTAGTTTGTGTTGAGATGTTGTCGGTTTGATAACCTGCTAAATTTTTTTTTAAAAAAAAAACGATAAGCCCGATAAAATGACGTCACAAATTCCACCCCAAAAAATCATTCTTTGGGATATAACGCGTCTTCAATAATTGGTTGCATATGTACTAACCAGGCTACGTGAAATAACTAATAAGTAACTTCAAGAAATGAATCAGGAAAATCAGCTATTAATGATTCTGGACATGGAGTAAGCAAATAGAGGTGGCCATGGACCTGTCTTGCAAATTCAAATTATAAGGATAGAGAGCTGGGACGAGATCAACCCAACTTATTGCGAACTTAACGAGTTTCGTTAAAATCAAATCGAAGTTTTATTAAAAAAAGATGAAACGTGTGGTTGAGAAGTTGAAAAAAAAAATGAAGTGTGCAAAACATAGGTTATGGTCACCAGTTCGAGTCCTTCAGGGCCACTGAGGTGAGTACCCGGCCATAAACTTCAAGTCCTGTGGAATTAATCGAGGTGCGCACAAGCTGGCCTGGACATCCACGATTATTTAAAAAAAAAATGGTTAGATGGTCATGTGAACTAACATCTACATTCCATATTTGAAAGATTCATACAAGATTTGAAACGTTTTATTTTAATTAAGACCGAAATGCATGGCAATTTTTTTTTATAGTCCATGTCTTGAATGTTTATAAAATCAATTATTTTTCTTCTCTTTTTTTTTTTATTTCCATTAGTTGGAGAAAAGTTGGGACGGACGAAATAAAAAAACAGATGCTCAAACAGGGACGCAATCGAGTCAACCGAGACGAAAATTGAGTCGTTTGGACTCAGAAATGAACAAACACAAAGAGGTAAAAGACTGAAGACAAATATCAAACAAGAAAGCGTGTGATGAATTTGTAATTCATAAAATCAAGTGGGGGATTTGTGATTCAGTCAACATCCTATTTCTTTGAGAATAGTGATAAAATAATTGGTCCATTTTTGTCTTTTTAAGCCCTTGTTTTAGCCCCATTCTATTTAAAATTTATTTTTTCAAAACTCATTTTGAACCACATATTTTTCAATAAATTAATTTTACACTAATTCAAGAATTACTTCCTTGGTAGCTTTTTCCCTTTTCCGTTCGCTTATGTCTTATGCGTTTGGAAAAGATGGATTGGCAAGAGTTAAATTGTGAATTAGAAATTGAACCGTAGTATATCAAGACTAAGCGAAAAATGGAATTGGATCACGATAAATGGGTCATTTTACTACAAAAACTTTTTCATATTTTTAAGGAAAAATTGTCAACAACGGTCCATAACCTGTACAATTTTCACAGATTTTATCCTAATTTTCAGTTTGTGCCAACATAGGTTCCTAACTTTTCTTAAATATGTAGCTAAGGTCGAACTTGATGGAAGTCATCCATTTGACCGTTAGTTGACCAAAAGTCAAAATATTGACCAAATATTGACCAATTTTAAGTGGTTAACATAGTGAATTTATATTTTATATAATAAAACAATTAAAATAAAATAACTAAATAAAAAAAGAATGAAAACCAAAATCAAAAGTCATCTTTCCCGCCCCACCCCAAAATCGAACCCAAGACAACGACGATTCGTCACTCGCCGATCATTGCCGTCACCATCTACAAGACGTTGGCCACTACCCAATGCTACCACCTTTCTCTTTCCCACTGAGGCTATCAAAAATCGTACTGTCGACTTTAATTAAATCCATTACCCAAGTTCCCAAGAAAAATTCAAAACCTTCACCCGAGAAATCCAAACCAAAACCTTTACTCCTCGAAGCTGAAATCACCTTCATTCCTCGAGGACCATTACCCATGAAAAATAGTCGAAGCCAAAAAATGGAGGTCGAAGTTGAAAAAAACCCCAAAACCAAATCCATCACGGCAGTGGAGTTCAAAGCTGAAAAATGATCAGAAATCACCTTCACTCCTTGAGGACAATCACCTAAGAAAAATCGTTAGTTAGCCAACCAGACGTTGCTGATCGATTTGTTGTGCAAGTGGTGGCGATATATGTTAGCAAGGCAGCGGTGAGGTTGCAGACCCAAAAACTCTCATCTTTGAGCAAAAAATAAAACTTATGTCACAGGCAGGATATAGGTTAAGAGATTTGGGCCAATGGTCAAAAATTAGTGGTGATGGAGGAGAATTTGATTGAGGAGATGCAGGTTAGCAAGATGACAAAGGAAATAGTCTCGAAGAAATAGGAGGAAAAGTTGGTGACCATTTTTTTTTTTTGAATGCTAACGTGAGATGAATAAAGGAGATGGGAAGGGACAAATATTGTTAAGAGGTGCACGATAGCAAGATGGTGGTAGTCCGATGATGATTTGGGAGTATTGTTTGGTTTGGAGGAAGAAGATAAGGCAAGGCAAGGCGGGACGGGGAGGGGCGGGGATAAATCAAATGGAAAATTTAGTATGGATGAAAATACCCTTGTTTCAAATAGTCAAAATACCTCATTTTTGTATTTTTCAGGCCAACTAACGGCCGATTTGATGGTTTCCGTCAAGTTGGATCACAACTACATATTTATGAAAGGTTAGGAGTCTTCACTAATACAAATTGAAGATTAGGATAATATCTGTAAAAATTGAAAATATTAGGAATTGCTGCTGTAATTTTTCTTTTTTGAATCATGAAAAATGCGTTTCTAAAATATATTTTTTATTTTTCAAAAATGAGATCAAACACGGGCATAATAAGGACAAGTCTATTTTCGTTAAACTTCTACGTCAGGTTGCAACTGCCTTGTCTCTTCTATTTGTTTTCCACACCCCAGGGCCCACCTACTTGATTTATGGTACCCGTTGTCTATATGTTGTATTTATTACTTACACTCTTTAAATAGCATAGGGATGGAGCCTAAGCCTTGGATTTTAAACCACAATTTCGACTTATCAGATAAAGATAAAAACAAAAATTTAAATATTAATATTAGTTAAACGGGTTTTGCTGTTTGGGCAGAAAAAAAAGTCAAAAGAAGTGACCAAAATAATGTGGAGGAAAAATATTAGGAGCCTGTCTGCTGGAGATTTAAATTCAATTTTGAGTGTAAATCCAACTTTAAAGTCAATAAGTGGGGGCCACATGAGAGACGATGAGTCAAATTATGTAGGCTGCTTTGACGAGTAACGGATGAAAAAACAATTTTAATTGATTTGAAAATGGCGCCCAGAAAAATATTAGATTTGTGTTTGACACCCATTTTGGAAAAAAAAAATTGAATTATGGAATAGTGGTTGATGAAAGAATGTGTGGTTGAAAAGTAATGAAAAGTTTTAGATTTGTCTGTAATATTATTTTATTTGGAGAATGTGTGGTTAGAATGAAGAAAAAATAGAGAATGAGATTGAGTGTCAAACGTGGATGAAAAAATTGACCGTTATTTAAACTGTTAAGTAATAAAGTGTCATGTGACATTATACGGGAAGTGTAAATGTGTGACCATTGCACCAAGCAAGAGTTAGTTGATTCTCCAGGTTCAAATCTGTCCCTTGGATTAGATTCATCTCACATGTTCATTTAAAATGTATAGGCCTATATATGCATGTAAATCTTGCTACACTTACACGCTTTAGTACACAATCTCCTACACAACCCTCTCACATGTGTGTAGGTCCCACAATGTGGGGTCCATTGTGGACCCCACACACTTGTGAGAGGATTGTGCAGGAGATTGTGTACCAAGTGTGTACAAATAGCATTTTTGATATGCATGCATTCATCCCAGAATACATATTTTTCCTTTTTCCAGAAAAGGAAGGGACACAAGTCACTGCTTCTGTGATTATTTGAAGAATAAAGTGCACTGTCAACAATTGAACAAATTTGAAGGAAAAACTAACTGCATGTCGATAAGAAGGATTAGACAATACTCAACATTATTAAAGAATAAAAACAAATTAAAATTGTCCTAATCAAACGCATTCAAGTATGAACTAGTTTCATTGTAATAGATATCGATGACTCTTTGCGTGTTATTATCCACTCATCCGTTATTGATTCTACATAGGTTAATTTTTCGATTAAGTTAGAAAAAAATTAATTGATGATGAACTTTTAAGAAGCGATAACTGCTTTCTTGTTACCGATTGTTTCTTTCTAGAAATTGGGCGATCTCATTTTTAATATTTTGAGTTATTAAATGTATAAAATTAAGCATAATATCATTTTCTTGTTATAATAATAATAATAATAAATAACATAAGAGGCTGTATGGATAATAAAATTTAAATAAATAAACTTATCCTTCTAGAATAACCAGTGTATAAGTCAGCTTAAAAAGATCAACAAAAATATAATTCCAAGTCAACAATTACGCGCATTCCTGTGTGTATATATAGAAGAGCCTCGTATAGTTTAGGGACAGAAAACAGAACACAGACAACCATAAGACAGAAAGTATATATGTTGAGTTTTAAGAATCAAATGGCTGAATTTCTGTTACAAAATCCGTATATACTCACTTTTATCGCTATATTTCTTCTATGGAAATTCGTCAACCGGAAGGCGGCTCCTACAAACAGCAAAAATCTGCCGCCATCGCCGCCGAAACTCCCAATTATCGGGAATCTCCACCAAATCGGCACGCTCCCACACTATTCCCTTCAATCCCTGGCAAAAAAATACGGTCCGCTAATGCTTCTCCACTTTGGAAATGTTCCGACGCTTATCGTTTCATCGGCGGACGCCGCCAGGGAAATTATGAAAACCCATGATGTCATTTTCGCTGACAGGCCCGAATCTAGCGTTTTCCGGCGGCTTCTTTACGACATGAAGGATTTGTCAGTTGCCCCATATGGAGAATACTGGAGGCAATTGAAAAGCATATTTGTACTCCAGCTTTTGAGTAACAAAAGGGTACTGTTACTATTTCCCGCTCTTAGATCATGATTGATCCTTACTTCTCTGCTTTTTCACAAGAAGCTGTTTATCCATTATTGATACTGACGGAAATGAGCAAAAACGATGTTATTTTTACTTTATTTATTTATCTGTCTTTTGTCTAGGCCAAAGATGCTCATAGTACATAAACTGAGCATACTTGAGAGTTTAGAATTGCATGGAGTGACTTGATAAGATTTTCTAACGGTGCATTTCTGTTCCATAACAGGTACAATCATTCCATGCTATAAGGGAAGAAGAAACGGCCTTGATGATGGAAAAAATTAAGGAATCGTTTCTTTCTTCATCGCCGTTGAATATGAGTGATTTGTTTACGGCAATCACAAACGACGTTGTTTGTAGGTCAGCTTTCGGGAGGAAATACAGGGACGGGGCTGTTGGGGAGAAATTTCTGAAGTTGATTACTGAATTTTTGGAACTTTTGGGGACTATTAGTATTGGAGAATTCATTCCATGTCTGGCGTGGATTAATCGTGTTAATGGTTTCGATGCTAGAGTAGATTTTGTTGCTAAAGAACTTGATGAGTTTCTTGAAGGAGTGATTCAAGAACACTGGGATATGGAAAATTCAAGTGGAAATGATGAAAGTAAAGAGTGTTTTGTAGATATTCTGCTTAAGATTTACAAGGACAAAACCACTGGTGTATCCATTGATAGAGATAGTGTCAAAGCCATAATTTTGGTAAGCACCCCTCCCTTCCATATAACTGTAATAAAATTGAACTTTGTGCATATTTGAGCCCCATATTTCGGTAAGATAAGAATGTATTTTGAAATGGTAAATTGATGAAAAATATGTGGTTAAAAAATAAAAAAAATTTTTATGTTTGCGCGTAATATTATATTATTTTATTAAAAGAGAGATGTGGGATTGAAAAGAATTTAGAGAAAAATAATGTTTTGAAAGTTAAAACTGCTATTGAAATAAACAAATTCGTACAAGTTTCTCGTGCTTAAGATGTCATCAAAGGTTTGACACGAGCATAGTTTCCTAGGTGGTAATAGACTTTGAAGTCAAGATTTTTGTCTATTTCAATTGAACCACCTCATTTGCAAATTTATGTGACTATTAATTCTAGGATTTTGCTAGTAGTACATTAAAAGATGTACCCAAGAGATTACATTTCTCTCACATGGGGTGAGAACCACTTTTATAAAATATTTTTTTATTTAAGTGGGTCACACCCCCCATGTGAGGGGGTGTAATCCCTTAGGTACACCCGTAGGTACCACTAGCAAAACCCTTAATTCTATTAGCCGTAGTTTTTTAACTTTCTTGATTATTTCAGGATGTATTTTCTGCTGGAACTGATACCACATCCACAGTTCTAGAGTGGGCAATGACAGAACTCTTAAGGCACCCAGTAGTTATGAAAAAGTTGCAAAATGAGGTGAGGGGTGTTCTCAATGTAAAACATAACATAACAGATGCTGACTTAGAGAAAATGCATTATTTGAAAGCTGTAGTGAAGGAAACTCTACGATTCTTCAAAGCCATAATTTTGGTAAGCACACCTCCCTCCCATATGACTGTAATAAAATTGAACAACTTTGTGCCTGTTTGAGCCCCATATTTCTTAAAGATAAGAATGTATTTTGGAATAGTAGATTGATGAAAAATATGTGATTAAAAAATAAGGAAATTTTTTAGATTTGCGTGTAATATTATTTTACTTAAGAATGTGTTGTTAAAAAGAATATAGAAAAAACTGTATTTTAGAAATAATGGTTTGAAAGCTAAAATTGCTTTTGAATGAAACAACGTACAAGTTCCTCATGCTTAATATGTCATCAAAGGTTTGACACGAGCATAGTTTCCTAGGTGATAATAGACTATGAAGTCAAGACTTTTGTCTACTTCGATTAAACCACTTCATCTGAAAATTTATGTAAGTATTAATTCTATTAGCCCTAGTTTTTTAACTTTCTGATTATTTCAGGATGTGTTTGCTGCTGGAACTGATACCACATCCACAGTTCTAGAGTGGGCAATGACAGAACTCTTAAAGCACCCAATAGTCATGAAAAAGTTGCAAAATGAGGTGAGGGGTGTTCTCAATGTAAAACATGACATAACATATGCCGATTTAGAGAAAATGCGTTATTTGAAAGCTGTAGTGAAGGAAACTCTACGAATCCACACCCCAATCCCACTACTGGTAGCTCGTGAAGCAAGAGAAGATGTCAATGTGATGGGCTATGACATTGCAGTAGGGACGATGGTCATGACCAATGCATGGGCCATTGGCCGAGATCCTCTTTACTGGGAAGAACCACATAAGTTTCAACCAGAGAGATTCTTAAATTCGTCTATAGATTTCAAAGGACTCGATTTTCAGTTGATCCCATTTGGAGCCGGTCGAAGAGGTTGTCCAGGAATCTCTTTCGCAATGGCAACTAACGCATTTGTTTTGGCAAATATCGTTCAGAAATTTGACTGGGAATTGCCTAATGGAGCAAAAGGAGAGGATTTGGATATGAGTGAACGCCCAGGTGTTTCAATCCATAGAAAAGTTCCACTTTTTGCTGTCGCAACTCAATGCTATCTCTAATCCATGTGAATTTCATGTGACAAGATGGAAACAACAGTTTGCACCGTAAATTAAACACTCATAAATCATAATTCTTTATGCTTTTCACACACGCACTCGCACGAATAAATAAATTGGAACCATTGTTTTTAGCCTTGTGTTGTATTATAGTTTACAAGTAAAAAATAATAGTGTGTTTGGTTCTTCAGTTAAGACAATGTATCACTTTTATTCCATTAACACCGAAAATTTATGAAATATGTAATGCATCGGAATAGACATCTATTTACTATATTAAAGAAGGATAGTTTCCCGCCGCTATACTGCAACAGTGTTCCCGCCACTCTACGAGCTTAGACACACTCAGGCGCTTGAGGAAATTCAGGACAAATTTTTTTATCAATTTTATTTGTGCAACAGTGTTCCCGCCCATAATT